GGTACAGCCGCCACTCGCAGGAGCCTGCTTGGCCTGGGCGGTCGCTAGAGCACTGCCGAGCTGGGCCATCTGTCCAGACGATGCCAGACTACCCATCATATTATTGAACTGGCTGGCGAAGCCTACGAGGCTGTCGCCGCCGCCTCCCTGCCCGGGCTGGCATGGGCTACGGGGACCACGCTCCTTTCTGCCACGGGTGCCTTTGCCCCCCCACGGACTGCCGCCCATGCCCGCTGTGGGGAAACAGGGTGCTGTAAAGAAAGAAGATGCGCAGGGAGGAGCAAAGGACGATGCCCGGCGCACGTGTTCTCGAGACTGAGCGCAACAGCCAACGTGCGAGGTGGCCTGGGAAGGCAGGTCGGGGAAATGGGCTTTCACCAGCTCGGGGCATGCCTTGTAGATGAGCTGGAGGGCGACCCAAATGACGTCCTGGAAATCCGCATGGGGCTAGACCTGGACCCAGAGCTTGAAAATGATTGTGTAAGGACATCCCAATCTCAAATACACCAGGATATACGTCCTTTGAGTTCGGCCCGGTGTATTCTAAGGAGTGCTCGATCTTTCTTAAAGGCGTAAGGGGGGATTGACTGTTTTGCGATGTATGATAGGGATCCAGGTCCAAGCAAACTTCTCATTCTTGTGTAGGGGCTCTAGGGAGAACTCTGCGAAACTCAGGTGGACCTCCGAATCTAGGAACTTCTGAACGACAGTGGCGCCATCGACAACCCTGAAAGAGTCATCGACCTTAAACTTGACAATGGTTTTGTACACCTGCCCTATCACCCGAGATACACATACGCGGCAGAGGGTATGGGAGAACAGCCCCAAGTCGTCAACATATCCGCCAGCGGCAATGTGTTTTCTTCTTCTTGGGTGACCTGATCACGTGAGGTCTCAGCACGGCTTGAAACGATCTACAGGATGCACCCCGACAGAGGACCACCAATGGGGATGCCTTTGATCTGTTCCCAGCAAAAGTCACCGATGCGGTACAGCCGCACCCCAAGAAATCCAAGAAGACATCTGCGCAAGGACTTGAAATTGACAATGCACCTATCTGCATGCGGTGCTGCATAGTGTCCGTCCCAACGAGTTTCGAAGCCACGCTTCTTGTCGGTAATCGTGAAAGTGTGCGAGCGAGTGTGTCGAGGTATTTCGTCGAAAAGCTGGTCGATGGCCTTTTCGATCTCTTGCGAGTCGAGGTCTTCGTAAGCCTGGCCCGCACCAGCGACAATGATGGTGGGATGAACCAGTGCAGTACCGCGCACGACGCAGCAGCAAACGCCAGTGTTGGCAACACACACACACACACACACGCACACGCACACAAACATTCTCACACACACAAGCACGCGCACCCCCCCCGCACACACACACACACACACACACACACACACACACACACACACGCACGCACGCACACACACACACACATACACACACACACACACACACGCACGCACGCACGCACGCACGCACGCACGCACGCACGCACGCACGCACGCACGCACGCACGCACGCACGCACACGCACTCACGCACGCACGCACGCACGCAGGCACGCACGCACGCCGCACGCACGCACGCACGCACGCACGCACACACGCACGCACGCACGCACGCATGCACACACGCGTGCGCGCGCGGTCAAAAGCCCTCTGACCGAGCATGAACCAACCTCCCCCATCTGCCGCGGCCGCCTCGATGCCCACGGCGACGGTGCTATGCAGATCTCCGCCCACCTCGCTGACGGAGAGGCCCCGCGGGTCCGCGGGCGACGTGGCAGCCAGCGGGGCGGCCGAATGTGCCGGCGTGAGCGAGGATATCGTCGATGCACAAGGGGTGCTGACCCCAGCCCATGCCTGGGAGTCCGCTGGACCTGCCGCCTGGAGATTGTTTTACACCCCCCTCTCCTCCTCCTCCTCCTCCTCCTCCTCCTCCTCCTTCTCCTCCTCCTCCTCCCCCTCCTCCTCCCCCTCCTCCTCCTCCTTCTCCTCCTCCTCTTCCTCCTCCCCTCCGTAACGTCCGTGACGGGGGGATCAGGGTGGGGGAGGGGTCGGGCCTGCGAGCGCCACGGCATGCGTGCGAGCGCCACAGCCAAGCATGGCTGTCAGCACCACAACATGCCTGCGAGCACCCCGCCATGCCTGTGGGGGAACCGGCATCTCCCCACCCCCGCGCGCACGTTCGGCGCCGTTACGGGAAGGGGGGTCGGGGGAGGGAGGGGCCTGGGCGACCCCACGTAACGGACGATACTGGATCACCGAATGCAGACACAATCGCCTGCACGACGGGCGCCTCGGCGGCGATGAGCCGCGCAGGCCTCCCGGGTGCCCGTGGCTGCGCCCCGCCTGCCGGCGCCGCCACGACTAACGGGGCAACCCTCGGGGGCGGGGCCCCTACAAGAGGCCCCCCAGATGGGGTCCGAGTAGGCGGGGACGGAGGATCGCGCCGCATCGCCGACGCATCGCAGATGCATCGCCGACGCATCAGCGACGACGGCGATGCATCGGCGCCGTCGGCGTGGAGATACTCGGGCTCCACAGCGAACCGCATCGGCGATGCATCGTCGATGCGGCGCGGTCCTCCGACTCCATCCCCTCCCAGACAACCGATGTCCTGATTTGTGCCATGTGTACGGCGCCCCCGGAAATCCTGACACCTTCCCTGGGACCTCTTTTTCATCCCGCGTATTTCTTGACGGCCCTGGAGCCTGGCGAGGGCACCGGGAGGCTGAAAACGGCGCCGTCGCTGACTACCCACCAGACCACCCCAACCCAACCCGAAGACCCGGATTTCGGGTTGGGCGGGGTATGGGCTCCATATGTGTTTGTGTCGATGTTCACCGACCCCCCCCCCACTGGACATGGAGGGCAACTTGAGGCCTTCGCTTTGGGTCCTGGTGGTTTGGTGGGTAGTGAGTCGCGATCAACGCTTCTACCGCGCAGATCTGTCTGAGCTCGGAGCCCACCTGGGAGGACCGGGCCTGCGGGCCAGCTCCAGCGGCTCCCGGGCTGGGCGCTCGGCAGGCTGCCCCGGAGGCCGCCCAAGGGCACGGCCGGCGGCGACGGACCCGCGGGCGCGCCGAGCGCGCCGCCGGGGCCCGTGGCCACGACGACCTCGGGTGAGGGGCAACGATCGGGGGGGGCAGGCGTAAGGGGGGATGCATCGACCTGGAATCGGCGACACAGCGTCGACAGATCGGCGATGGGCCCCCGATAGTGAATGCGCGCCTTCCTGGGCGGGGCGGGGCTATCGGGTCCCTATCGGCGATCCATGGGCGATTGGGGGTCGATGTATCACCCCCCTATGCCCATCTCCCCCTATCGTTGCCCCCCGATCGGGGGGGGCAAAGGGCAGCCCGGCTAGGTGGGCCGGGGGTCCGAATCACACCGAGGCAGGAACGGAGCGGCGTCCCTGGTCACGGCGAGCCTCGGCCACGAGCAGGTTCCCCGAAGTTCCCCGAGGTCGGTCCTCGGGCCCGAACACAGGAGCTCCTCCCGAACCCCCAATCCTTGCTTCAGCGGCTTGGCTGTAAGCTCGGGCGCCGATGTCTTCCACTCGGTTTGTAGGCGGGTCGCGGATGGATCGTCGGCGACGGGGTGGGCGAACCCCCGGGCGAGTCGCAAGGCAGGTCGCGGGGGGTGCAGGCCGCGGGGCAGGCCGCGGGTGGGCTGCGGAGCAGGTCGGCGGCGGGTCGCGGGTCGGGTCCCGGGGCGGCGCCTGCAACAAGACTGCCCCGGCAAAGCACCCTGAGAGCAGCAGAGGTGAGGAGGCGGGTCGAGGAGTGGGAGGCCGGCGAGTGAAGACGTGCATTCCTGGGTATTCCGAAGCGTTCCCAGAGCATCCGCGCAGCTTAAATATTATATGCGCACTAAAATCATATTTCTTAACTTTTTGATATAATTTGATTAACATGGGGCGAATCCAACGAACAACTGTTTTATATTATATAAAAAACCTAAAGCCATGATGTAAGTAAACCGACGTACGATAAATGAAGTATAAGATAAGATCATACTAGGACGTCTGACAAGACGCTCGCGCACCTAGCTTGTCCCCCCTCCCTTCCCCCTCCGCCCCCCTACCCCGTCCCTCCCCTCCCCCACCTCCTCCTCTTTCTCCTCCTCGCCTTTCTCCTCCCCCCCTCCCCCCCCCCATTCCGCGTCTTCGATTTCGTCCTGCCCCCATCCTACTCTTGTCCTCTCCACCATCTTCCTCCTCCTTGTCCCCCTCCTTTTTCCTCTCGTTCCTCCTCCTCCCCTCCTCCCCTCCTCCTCCTCTCCTCCTCCTCCTCCCTCCTCCTCCTCCTCCTCCTCCTCCTCCTCCTCCTCCTCCTCCTCCTCCTCCTCCTCCTCCTCCCCCATAGCCTTCTTCACCTCCTGCCCCTCCCCCCTGTTCCCCTCCCCCTACCCCACCTCCTGTACCTCCTCCTCCCTCCTCCTCCTCCTCCTCTCCTCCCCCTTCTCCTCCTCCTCCTCCTCCTCCTCCTCCTCCTCCTCCTCCTCCTCCTCTCAGGAGGTAGCAGGTCGCGACTCCAGAACCGACGCCAGCACCGACGCCATGAGCGGTCGACCGTTCCCTTTGTCTTGTCTCTCTTTTGTCTCTCTCTCTCTCTCTCTTTCTCTTTCTCTCTCTCGTTGTCTTTCTCTCTCTCTTTCTCTCTCTCTCTCTCTCTCTCTCTCTTTCTCACTCTCTCTCTCTGTCTCTCTCTCTCTCTCTTTCTTTCTTTCTCTCTCTCTCTCTCTCTTTCTTTTCTATATATATCTCTCTCTCTCTCTCTCTCTCTCTCTCTGTTTCGGCTGGGATGTTTTGTTAGTCTGAGGCCCTCTCGCCGCCACGGTTGGAAGCGCTTCGAAATCCCACCCTCGGGAAATAGGGTCGCCTGACAAGATACGCGTGCGTACCCAAGGAAATCCTCCTCGCCACGGCTGGGTGCGCCAAGAAGTACTACCCGAATGACATCGGAAAACTCTGAATCCCCTTCGAAAGCTATTTTTCTCAGCGCTCAACAGTAGTTGCCCTGTACTTTCGCACCGCTTCCGTGGCGATGGTCCTGCAATGCAGCGTCGTGCACATATCGACTGCCACGCCAATCTCTGATTCGTCACCGTAATTCCACCCCTCCTTTGGATTCCCACGATCGTGTTCCATTAAGTGGATAAATAAATGATGTTTTGGAATCATTTTCCACAGGAGCGTGGACTCATCTAATTCTGCCGCTTCCCTCCACAGCTCAGCATACAGTAGCACATGCTTGGTCGCCAGCACTGCGCACTCACTGTAGGACGTATCAAAATCCCACACGGCGAGCTGGTCATATATTGCGGCAAGGCTGCGCACGCAGTTCAAACGAATGGCGTTGTGTTCTGATGTCTGATCGTAGAATGTGATAAGCATGTGTAGCAATACTTTCAACAAGTGTCTCCCCTCACCTGCCTTCGTCTTCATCTTCGGACCTTTGCCACTCGCCCTGAACATGGGAAGTGTTAGTGCGTACACGGGGCAGTCGATGCCCAAAAACTTTGAACCCAAACGTATCTGTGATCTCAAAACGCTCACAGCCCCTTTTGACCCCGTTGAATCAGGCGACATGTTACCGCCCAAGCTGCAATGCAACTCCCAGAAGCAATTGCCGAGGAGATTTTGGAGAATCCCTAGACACACCACGTGCATCAAATCTATTAGTATGTACTTGAACCGCATGCCTGGGAAATTGAAGATCTCACTCCTGAACCCACTGTGAAGCATGCACATGAAAAGGGCCTTATCATCATCATATTCGTGCCCTCTCCAAGGGGCATGGCGGTCAGCCCTGCGGAAATCAAAGTCGGTCTTGTTATTGGCAGGGCATCGCCAGCATACGTGGCCGTGCCCCCCTTCCCCTTTCCACCCCGACAATCCAAAAGCTTGTTTGTACCAGGCCCAGTCCCCCTTTATCTGAATGCACGCGGCCTTGCAATTCAAAACGCAGCCCGCCTGGTGTATTCGATCCCTGTCGCCAACACCCGAGCTCTTGTTATACGGATTCTGGTCGTGGCGCACGCGTGGAAAATGCCCATCTGCCAGTGCGCGGAGGCTCCACCCCATCACTCGCCACGCCTCTTCGAAAGTGTGACGGCCGTAGCAGCCGCACTGGCATACGTACCTTGGAAGGTGTTGTCAGACAAATCTGTCGCTGATTGCTTCGGCGCCCGAAATGAGCGCGGACAAAATGAGTGCGGTGCCCAACAACAAATGTCGTCCCAAACCAACAGCGGCCGTTGTTGGACAGGCCTTCTCCTGTCTCGAATGGACACAGGCCGCGGCTGCGCGGGCAGGAACTGCTGTTGGGCATCGTGCACATTCTTTCCGCATCCATTTCGTGCGTACAGATCTGTGGTTTATTTGCAACTTGTGTCCTACCCCATCCACTTCCAGTCATCCGCCAGCTTCGCACCCCGCATCCTCCTTTGCGTTCCGTCGCTTCACTGCTGGGGCACTGTATGTATTGAGTTGCGTTGCGTTTGCTGGATCAGTTGCGGTGCAGTTCATTCGTTCTCACGCATCGCGATTCGCTGAATAATGTGTAGTCTGTTTCTGTAATCTGTAATGTTTCTGTATTCTGTAGTTTTTTCTGTAATCTGTTGTTTTTTTCTGTAGTCTGTAGCTGCTGTTCTGTAATATGTCGTTTTGTTGTTTTCTGAAGTTCGATTTGATTGCACTTGCTTGCATTGCATTTGCAGCGTTGTCTGTTAACAGAAATTACTTATGTAATTAAGTTGATTGCGTCTGATCGCTTGCGCTATTGCATATATTTCTTCCCTTTGGGCCCTCCCACCCCCCGCCCGTTGCCCAGGCGACGACGCAACGACTCCAGTTGCGACAGCCCCGACGGCAGCGCGGGCCGAAGGGACGAGGCATCGATGATAGTTTTGATGAGCTTCGATTTCCCAGGGTACCGTTTTGGGAAACAACAAAACCAATGCCGTCGATGCCGATCTTTGCCTGACAACACCTGCCACGTGAGAAGATAGACGCTGTCTCGCTTCGAGTACGGGGCGCTATCACCCCAAAGCCCCAAACTTGCAAACAGCTCGGTCGTCGTATCCCGAGGTGGCTTGAGCGTTTCGCCCCACTCTTTCAGTACATCGTTTAGTGGGCTGACCTCGGGGGCAAACGTACACCATTCATGTACGGTACTAGGCTGAACCATGTGGTGTAACATCTCGTGTGGTAACAGAAAATTCGTCAACATCGTGGCCTTTTGATTTCTCAGGGGGTCCCATGAGGGCAACGCCGCTTGGTAAACTGGTGGGAGATCGATTTTGTCCAGCCGCCTCATTAGCCCTCTATAGGCATTGCCTCCTTTCTGGACCGAGCCCCAATCTTGGACAACACGAGGCGTCTCGGTGGGTGCATCGCTGCAAAATGCCTGCGATGCTTCAACTACATCAGTCGCGCTGAACCCATGTTTGGCAAACTTCCTCTTCAGGAATTGCTCTGTATGGCAGCAGTCGGCGCTAGCGCACTTGTCGGAGAATGCCTCCTGGCAGCATCCATCTTCGGGGCGATGCCAATTTAAAACGCATCCAGCATTTCGGCCCCCCCCCCCCCCTTCACCCCATGCCCCAACCGCCGTCGCCCCCCATCGAACCCCAATCCACCCGCCCGCATTCTGGACCCAGGGCCCAAACAAAAAAGAAGGATCATCCTCGTGGCATCGCCCCGACAAAGGATTTGTTGCCGATTGAGTCCGAGAAGAGCTTCTTGCGAATGCCGCCGAGGACCATTCAGCGATCGCGCTAACCCCACGCGCGATCTGCAAAGCCTCGGGCCTAAAAAGAAGCTCGCAAGGCCAGTCGGCTGGGAACGAGGGGGGAAGGGGGTGCTGGAGGAGCGAGAAGTGGAAAGATGGCAGGGCGGTCTTGCATAGGACATCTGAAGACCTCAGATCAGATATATTGCACGCGTTCACGGGGGAGTCGGGTTCCAAGGGGCCATGGTTCCATGTTCTGGGGGTGCCTGCCGTCTCCCCAGGGGGCGCTTCAGGTGTTTCTGGCTTCTGTCCTCACGCGTGGACCTCAAGGGGAGGCGATGAGACCGTCGTGCCCTATGAGGCCCTCGGGGGTAACCTTCTGGGGCCATGTTGGTCATTCGAGTTTACCAGACATCAAATATCAATGGTTATTATGTCCGCAAGGTTTCATTGAGGGACGTGTCGAAACAATGCTCTGCTCACAAATTTGTTTGTTTGTTTTTTTTCTGGCAACCGTGGGAACAGAGGCAGTGCCAGAAAATCAGCCAGGGGCATTATGAACATCACTTCCTTTCCTCATCCATCCCTCGCTCGGTCGTTTTCGTTTTCATTGTCAGTATACCTCCCCCCGACCAGCCAGGCTCAAGCGAACTTGAAACTGCGCGCAACACGTCGTGCGCTGCGCCTAGCGGCCAGGCAGATGGCGATGGGCTCGACGCTGCGCCACGCAGCTCAAGACGAATCCTTCATCTTGCGCATCTCGTCCAACGTAGATTTCTTGAATGTGTTGAACTTTGTAGTCTCCTGCTCGAGGTCATGTTTGAGCTTGTCGGACATGGCGGTGTAGACCTGCGGGTCGTTCGAAGACTGGCCCTTGACAGACTTTGCCTCCGTGTAGATGCCGTTGGCGAATTTCTCCATGCTGAGTCGGTGCTGGTTCCCCTGCTCTGCGAGGTAATCGCCCATCGACTGCGGGAAGCCCTTCCTCTGAAGTTTCAGCTGGTGCCCTGGGATCTCTCTCAGCTCGTCGTCCACGCTTCGGGCCCACGCTTTTGCTTTCTTGATCTGCTCGTCGAGAAGTTTCTTGGCCTCGTCGACCTTTGCCTTCATCGGGTTCTGCTGTGCCTCCTGCTTCTCCTTCTCGGCCTTGGCTGCGGCCCGTTCCTTCCTCTCGCGGTCCTTCTTCTCCTTCTCGGATTCCCCTGCCGCGCCGTCGGACAAGGGCAAGGCGCTGGAGATCGCCTGGCCCATCATGGCGCCCTGGATCTGCTTGTAGGTATCTGCGTTGACGTCCACGCTCGAACTCACGCTCGACGAGTTGTTCTTGAACTCGATCTCCCTGGGGATCTCCTTCGAGAACTTGTACTCCCTCACGCCCGCCTCTGCCAGCAACCCGTTGCGATGCGGTCTGCAATCCAAAGACTTTACGATGATAGATGCATGCAGCGGCGAATTGAGGTACATTGGCCCTCCGAGCTGCTCCTCTGTCAGCCACTCGGTGAGGCTCTCCGACTCGTCCCTGCTGCCGACGGTGGTGTCTTGCCCTGCGGAGCAACCTCCGCTTGTTGGGTCAATGATGAATTTGGTCAACCACTCTCGCTTGCGCTCGATGGAAGCGCGGCCCGTGGTATCTTTCACGTACTTAGCGTGCAGCATAGGACACTTTGACTTTAAAGTCGTTCCCAATGAGCTGAACAGGCTCTTGAGCGAGTCATCATCAAGAACATCCTTGAGCTTGTCAGCGGTCAAATCCTCGAGCTTGGAGATGCCTGCTTTCTTCAGCGAGTCCCTCGCCGCAACCACGGGCTTCGGGACCTTCATGCCCTTGAGCTTCTCGAGTTCACTAAGCTCACCAGCCGTGATCTCGGCCTTGACGGGGTGCAGCTCGACGGGCGGGGCAGCCATGCTCTTGCTCGCTGTCGGCGCCTTGCTCTTGGCCACGAGCAGGGCCTTCGCCTTGGCCTTGGGCGCGGCCCTCTCCTCGTCTGCAGTGGCTCGACTGGCGCAGCCATTGCCTTGCCCTTGGCGGGCTTCGGCGCCTGCCCCTTTGCTTTTGCCTTTGCTTTTCCCTTGGGTTGTGGCTTGGCTGCCAGCGGAGCGTCGCTGCTGTCGTCGTCCTGCTTCGTTCTCTTTGGCGGGCACGCAATGGCCGTGGCAGCCGGCCTTTTGCGGGCACTGGCGGGCGACTCGCTATCTGCCATCGCTGCGGGCAAGCCGTCATCAGCGCCCGAGCGCGGCATGAGTCTGACTGCTCGCTCAGTGGAGCAAGCGAGATCGAGAACTGTTTCGGCAGAACTCGAGCCAAAACAGCTACGCCACGGAGGAGCCGGTTTCTGGCATATCTCTGCCATCGCTGCGTCCGTTGGCCCGAACTTCCAAAAAAATCTCTCTCCCTCCCAGTCGTTGCGGTTTCTGTTGTGTTTTCTGTATTCTGTAGTTTTTTCTGTATTTTGATATGCTTCAAATATCCATGAAAACCATATATATATATATGTTTATATTGGTTTTCATCAACTACAGAATACAGAAAACAATACAGATTACAGAAAAAAACTACAGATTACAGAATTTTCTCAGACAGCTCGATCGCGCTGGAATTTAACCTTCCTGGGGGATTCGTGCTTCCCAGGAATGCAACGATCAAATGTGCTCGCTGGTTTGTCCAACTCCGAACTTCCGCATCCCCAAAGGCCCTGGCACTCCACTCCCCCGAAGAGAAGCCCCCCTCCCAAGGGCGGGGCGCCCATCATAATTCAGGAAACGCGCGGGACGGGCGAAGGGCCCGAACGGACATCTCGGCGACGAGGGGGGGGCGCGGAGGCACGGACGAATCGGTAGCCACGGCCAAAAAAAAAAGCAGTAGACGGTTGCCCCCCTCCCCCCATTCTATGCGATACCTAATGTTGTCGCTCGAACTTGCCCACTGTTGACGGGGGGGTTTGGAATCTTCTGGGAGACCTGCGTTCCCCAGGATCGGTGGTTCCAATAAGAGTTCAACGTGCATCCAACACGAGCTGACGGCCTCAGAGGACATCTGAAGAATAATTCTGATGAGCAGGATTCGAATGGCAAGAGTTTGGGGCGTTTGGGGTGGTAACAGGAGAGACAAGGGGAGCGGGCGTTGAGATGGCGATGGATGTCGATGCGTTAGATCTGGCAGAGCAGCAGCGGCACCAGTTGGAACCTCAAAGCAAGCAAACAACATTGGATGAGCTCCGACGGCTACGCACTGTAATGCGTGAGCCAACGCTCTTTCGATTTCCTGCACAAGGTCCTGACCCATTCAACAGCCTTGGGCTGGCCTTTGAGAGGCCCGCGCAGGGCAGAAACAACTTTGAGCACATCCTTCATGATATGCTCTGTGATCTTTGCAGGGTGCGGGGATTCGTTGGTGGTGACCTGTACCACTTGCGCCTTGTCGGATGGGCTCAGCACGAGAAGCGTCGACGAACCGTGGTGGCCAGCTGCGACCCTGATCCGACAGTCGCCCCCCGTGCCCCCATCGGATTCGGAAGGCGCCGCCACGTCATCCAAAGCGGCAAGTTCCACGCTGTCGGCTAATGGCGGCGCGTCGCCGCCTTCGCTCGACGAGTGAATTATGGCTAGCGCAAGCTCTGAACAAGCTGGCCGCTTGCCCGCGGCAGCGCAGGAGGGCCTCTTCAAAACAGTGCCAGGCGCCTCGCCAGCGCACGAAGGCTGCTTGCCAACATCAGCGGGCGCCTCGCCAGCGCACGCAGGCTTCTTGTCAACCTCAGCGCAAGCAGGCTTCTTGACGGGGCCGTTCCTGGCTGTCTTCTTCGGAACTGGCAGCGGCAGCGGCCTGCGATGATAGGCCCAAACGCGCGTGAGATCCTCGTGGATGGGCGGGGGGGGGATTGTTTGTTTTAAACCAGTGATTGTTTGCATTGTTAAACAGTCGTGTTTCAAGTGCAACGCCCAGGGGCCTCAGGAGGCTAAAAGGTCACGTAGGGCCTTCACGGACGATGCAACAACCACAGCTGCCACTCACGTGCCAGGCACACTTAGAGCCTGTAAACCAGCAACAATATTGGCGATGGGGCGGAAGGGGTGAGGGGGTGGCATCTGGCAGAAGAAGGTTGGCGATAGAGTTGAGTTATGCAGCAGTGGTGGTTGGAAAGGGGAGGGCGGCCGCGCCTCCGCACCCAATCCCACCCCCCTCGGCTCCTCCTCCACCCACCCGCCCCCGCTGGCAGGGCAACGACGCCAGCCTGCTGGCAACCGCGACTGCGCGACAGATGGCACGCGACGGGGACGAGCACCTGTCACCGACATCACGGTGCTGGGGGGGGGAGGGGAGGGGGGAAAGATTGTGACTGGTCCAAGGGGAGGTCGCACTCCAATTTCGACAGGGGCCCTCGGGGGGCCCAGCCACGGAGAGCTCACGTGGTCGGCCACGTGGGGCCACGCGGCGGCCCACGTGGCCCAGAAATTAAGTGCGACCTCCTCATGGGAGAAAACTCTGGCCCAAGGAGATGTGGCACTCGAATTCCTGCTGGAGCCCTGGGGGGCCCCAGCCACGGAGAGCCCGCGCGGTGGACCACGTGGGGCCACGCGGCGGCCCACGTGACTCAGAACTAGAGTGCGACCTCCCCTTGGGGGGGGGGGGGGGGATGCTCTGCCCCAAGGGGAGGTCGCGTTCAAATTTCGGCAGGGGCTCTGGAAGGCCCGAGCCACGTAGTCTGGAAGGACAACGTGGGTGACCACGTGGTCCCACGTGGTCGGCCACGTAGTCCTCCGCGGACAGCTGCGCGGCCCCCCGCGATGCACCGCGTGGCCCCACGTGGCCAACGCATGCAAAGTATTCCCATGGGGCCCTGTTCGAAAAAATCATTTGGTTGCCCGCGGCCTATGTTCGGCGACAGAATCGGCGCCGATGTTCTTGTTAGGGATCAGTGTCTGGTACGTGGAGCCATCCTTCCAGTGGGCAACTACGAAACCATCATCCCCACATTTGAGATCGCCCTTGATAGCGATGCCGCTGGACATCCGCTTGAATACTTTCCCATCTGTGATTTCGTAATCTACTGTAATTTCGTCCCCGGAAGATATCTCGAGAACCTCATCGCTACTAGTTTCGCCATCTGGTTCTTCACCCCTGAAGAATGGAAACGGGTTCACTGATTTCTTGGCTCTCTTTGGGGGGCCGCCAACGGCCGAAGGCTCGTATTCGATCAATTCGTAAATATCTCTCAGATCTTTCGGGTGCTCGAGCGCATGCTTCCTCGCAAAATCATCCCCCTGTTTCATGGTGCCAGCCTGGTACTGATCAAAGCTCAGTCGGATGTGGGCGAGCATAGTTCTGTATGAGTACGCGATTAATGCCACAACGTCAGCTGGTGGCTTCAACAACTTCCGAGATAGCTTCACCAACTCTTTCTGGTTGGGGCCATCGCTGACAAGCCGTGCAACTGCTGAGTCCATATCAGATTGCGCAAAGTAGCCGCCTCTCTTGTCGAGCGAAATCAATCCGCTCAGCGATGGCGTCATCCATTGGAGGTACGTAACATTCACATGCTTTTTGAAGTCCGTGGAAGTGTAGAGCCCTTCCTTGAAAATTGTGGGAAGAGTGAGGGCAACCATCTTTGATATCTCCCCAGGGGTATCCACATCGTGCCTCCAACAGGAAACGCGACTCCGCTTCGGCATATCGGTATCGGAAACAATGTGCTGAGCTAAATGCCAATGGTCAGTCGTCATCGTCGCTGCCCCCCGCTCCCGCCGAGGCGTTTCCGACTCCGACGCCGACGACGGCCATGGCGCGGAGGGAGAGGGGGGCGGGGGGAGGTGAGGAGCATTGGAGGGGAGGAGCATTAGTGCGTGAACCCAGACATTCCCCCACTAGGCCCCACAGAGACCCCAGAAGACCTCAAATGATCCCACTGGGCATAAGAGACCACAGTGATACCCCAGAAGACCTAAGAGACCCCACAGCTACCCCTGGATGCCCCATGCGCCTCAAGAGACCTCAAGGACGCCCCAAGACCACATGGCCTTCACGGAAGCCTTGAGCCGAACCATCGGGGGCCTCATGCAAAGTAATATTGGCCGCATGCTGTTTCGATGCAAGTGCTGAAAAATATGCAGCACTGATAAGTGCTGCATATTGTTCAACTTTATCATGTATGTTATTGTTCCCCTCATTTGCATTTGTTTGTATGTGCGTGTTTCTGTTTATGTGATTGCTGTAGTTGCTGGCACGGCAGTGTTTCTGCAATGTTCTTGGTCTCCTCATTTCTGCGATTGCAAATCAATTGTTCTCAACGCCCTGGAGCGAGCGTCAGCGAGGGGAGAAAGAAGGAGGCACTGGGGGCACGGCCCCAGGGGAAAGGGGGCACGGCCCTATGGGAAGAAAAGGGGGCACGGCCCCATGTGATAGACTAATCACTGTCCGACTGAAAAGCTGGCGAGGACACCAAAGACTGCGCCTCGTCGCCATCGCGCGGCTCAACAGGCTGCGCATCGCGAAGAGCTGGAAAAGGATTCGCCTTCGAATCCGAGCCACTGGTGCTCTGCCGACTCAAAAAACGAGGCCGCTGCACAGCGCTGCCAGCACTGCCGAGGGCCTGGCGGTGTCCGACGCCAGCAGCTGACGCCTTCGCGCCGCTGCTGGTGTCCATGGCATTGGCGCGGGCGACGGCAAGGCGGAACTCTTCTTCCTGCATGCGCTTGGCCAACTCGAAATCGCCAGTCGCCTTGCTGCCGCCACCATCGGCGACCTCCACGAACATCGGGGATGACGACGAGCTCTCGTCGACGTCGGGCCGATGCTCATCCTCCTGCGCCTCGTCGCTGCCGATGTCGGCGTCCTCCTCGGGCCGATGCTCATCCTCCTGCGCCTCGTTGCTGCCGATGTCAGCGTCGACGTCGGGCCGATGCTCATCCTCCTGCGCGTCGTCGCCCTCGGCCTCGTCGCTGCACACGTCGAGGTCGCTGCCCACGCTCCCGACGAACTCGGCCTGCTCTGACTCGAAGGCGCGACGACGATCGAGGACAGCAGCTGCAGCATCGGCGCCTGCAGCCCGAGGACTCCACGATCGGGATCTCGATCTCGAGCGAGCCTGCCATGAGGAGGTGACGCTTGGACGAGGATGGGCTCGGGGGGGAAGCAATGCGAAAAACGCAATAACTAGCAAAGCAAATTCGGTGAATGGGGGGGCTTGGGGAGGACTGAAGGTAGAGGAGGGAGAAGGAGCAGGACTGATTCTGGCCTCCTGGCCAGAACACTCGCGGCCCATCCTGGCGCTCGAACTCGGCGCCCGCTGGGCTGGGGACCAGGCGCCCGCTGGGGCTCCAGAAGAAACTCTGAGCCTTCAAATGGCGAGCGACGGGGGGAACGAGAAGCGTGAGCCAGAACTGAAAGAGCAAAAAGGGCGACATACAATAGTGAAAACAACTACCAGATAAAACATACAATAATGCAAACGAAGTGCTATGCAGGGGCGGCTGGTCAACAACTAGCAGATAAAACCGGCAACATATGGTCAGCTGCAGAAGAACATTGATGGAGTGCACGTTACAGGAAACACTACATAGTACAGAAAAAAACACAGATTACAGAAACAACTACAGATTACAGAAAAAAACTACAGATTGCAGAAAAAAACACAGATTCCAGAAAACGATACAGATTACAGAAAAAACTACAGAATGCAGAAAAAAACACAGATTACAGAAAACGATACAGATTACAGAAAAAAACTACAGATTACAGAAACAACTACAGATTACATTAACAGTATAGATTACATAACCAACTACATATTACAGAAACAAACTACAGATTACAGAAAAAATGCAGATTATACACGTAACAAAGTACACATCACAGCATCGTGGAGCGAGGGGGAGGGAGCGACGATAGAGAGAGAAAGAGAGAGTGTGAGAGACAGAGAAAAAAAAGCGGCGATGACCTCTCTTCCACGCTCTCCTCCCTTCCTGGTTTTCTCATCGCCTCATCGCCCCCCGTTCCCTCTCGCCCGCAGCGCTTTAATCCTCTTCTTCCTCGTCATCAGCGTTCGCACCCTTCTCCTCCCTTTCCCTCCACCTCCCCACCTCCACATTCTCGTGCGTCCCAGCAGCGGGAAGAGAAGCCTCGCGTGGACAGGTGCCCGACGACCACCGACGGGCTCGCACCACGCCATTCCTCCTCTCCTCCGCCTCCTCTTCCTCCTCCTCCTCCTCCTCCTCCTCCTCCTCCTCCCCTCCTCCTCCTCGTCCTCCCCCCCTCCTCCTCCTCCGCCTCCTCTTCCTCCTCCTCCTCCTCCTCCTCCTCCTCCCTTCCTCCTCCTCCTCCTCCCCCCCTCCTCCTCCTCGGCCTCCTCTTCTTCCCCCCTCCTCCTCCTCCTCATCCTCGTCTCTTCCTCATTCCCTTTTACAGATACGGCATTCTGGCACGCCCCTCACGCGTTTCGAAGCCCAGTCCGACGTTGGCATCGTGAGCCACATCGCTCGCAGAAGCTGTCCGAACAGTTGAACCCCAGAACAGACAAGGCAACCATACTTCAGCCCTATAGCTTTTTCGTTGCCTCCAGAGCACACAGCCAAAATATTGATGGTAAGCCGATATAGTTGATATACTTATGTAACGCATGGACACTACATATATATAACATATATGTATAGAGTACATAGCGGGTGTGATACACAACATACACATGTATATATATATATATCATATTACATATCGATTATTGTAAGAACTAAGATTTTATCTTTTTATATGAGAATATAAGCTTGGCTGGTTGGTTCAGTGGGACCCTCAACCATACACATCATCATGGTAAAATCATAAAATGATGAATTTCTTAAGCGAAACACTTATTTTTTATCTAAACGGATGGTCTGGGTTCCTGGGGTCATGCGAACCTCCGTGTATTCTTTTTACCAAGGTCGCAGCCGTCCGGCCAAAAAACGCAGCCAGCATTGAGGCGGGAGCACGATTCGGGAACGAGCTGTGAGGAAGTCCCAGGCGAAACCGCCGCCGCAGCAGAGTCTCTGTTGAGACCTCTCTAGCGAAACGCTCTACCAAGGGAAAACAATCCTGGGCCCCGGTCCCAGAGGCCTTGAGTGCTGGGCCCAGCGCGGGCCCGCCCTCTGGGCCGGCTTTGAGCCTGGGGGCACGCATTTTGCGCTCCGCCGCCCTGTGAGCCAGAAGCCGCGAGGCATGACCCAGAATGTCGCCGGATAGCTTTCATGGTGCCAAGAACAAACCACAGAAAAGTCCCACAGGGCAGACGGGGCGGGGCCGCCTCTGAGCCCGGGGGCACGCACGTTGCGGCCCGCCGCCCCGTGAGCCAGAAGCCTCGAGCCATGACCCAGACCACCGATGTCGTGCCTCTTTCCCTACTAGCGTTTCATGGGAGGGAGGAGGGAGGAGGGATGAGGGAGGAGGGAGCAGGAGGAGGAGGAGGAGGAGGAGGAGGAGGAGGAGGAGGAGGGGGTTCTAACGGTGGTAAACAAAGACACGGAGAAGCCGCACGCGGGGGATCCGGAGAGCCCGAGACCGCCCGGGTCTGGCAGCGGTCTGGCGGTGGTTGCGCCAGAGATTTTCTCACAACTGCGGCGGGGGCTTTGGATGAGGAGCCCTTAGATAAGCAATCCAGGGTCTGGGAGACAGTGGAACTCCGATCGTGGATCGGCCATGGATATCACCACCGCCCTCGCTGGACAAGGGATCCTCCAAAGTCTGGCGCCGCCTGGGACTATTCCTTGACAAACATCCCCACCGTAATTCCAACATCGCGTTCCCCCCGCAATGCCGGCTAAAGGTTTGGTCTGCACGGCCACGATATCCCTGGTACAAAACACACCGAGGTGCACACGGACGTGCGCGGCCTCGGCCCGCCTCTTCACCTGTGCTGCTATTGGGGTGCCTTGCTGGGGTACGTATTGGGGTGCCTTGCTGGAGTAATCACAACGTGAGCCCCTGGGGCTGGCAGTGGGGCTCCGGAAAGCGAGCCTTGACAACAAGCCTGCGTCGCGTCTGCTCCCCAGTTCACCTAACATAGGGATATTGCTATTTCTGGGGCTGCACCGCCTCCTCGCTCGCCCGCCTCCTGCCTCTCGCACACGCTCAGGCTCCCACATATTCAAACTCATACTCAGCCTCGCCCATGTTCCGAATCCCTCATTCTCAGACTCACTCATACTCAGGTGCAGCAGGCATGGCACTCGGGCCAAACAAGGGAGAGCCGCCAGGGGAAACTGGACTGGCCCGTTCGCCTCCACCCTCAGGTCGACTGCATGCTTTGCGGGCCAAGAGGGTGCAATTTCAGAGCGCCATGATGATCGCGATGCTGCAGGCATAGCACCTGGGCGCTCCAACGGGGGAGCCGCCAGGGGTTATTGCACAGGCCCGCTCGCCTCCAGATGTGTTCACTTTCAAGCAGGAACCGCACTCTATACACCGACGTTTTTGTGTGGCCCTGCACCTTTGCGCGAGAGAGCGGAGCCTGGTGTATACGGGACCCTGGTGTATACATTTCCCATGGTCCCTGGAAAAACGGAGAAACAAGTACGCACTGCACCACCCCGACGTCGTCCCCGACCCTCAAAAGGTCCTGGGATTGAAAGACGGACCGCCACTGCTAATGTATAGGCTCCAGTTTCCGACAGAACACTCATTCGAGGGCTCAGCAGGATGTCTCTTCGGAGGCCCGTGATCACCACGACGCAGAAAGCCCCGCACTCCAGCACACCAGTGGGAGCCGCTGGGGGTACTGCACAGGCCCGCTCGCCTCCAGATTGACACTCGCCCGCAAGTAGAACAACTCCTCTAGGATTGTGGCAGATGTCGGAAAAATGTTCTAAACATGTTTTAAGCATGCTTTAAACATGTATAACACATGTTTTAGACATCTGGAAATTAGTTGGCAACATGCTTCCTCTCCATTGATCGTTCTCCACACACACATGGGCACTCCAGGGGGAGCCGCCAGAGGGGTACCTCACGGGCCCTTTCGTTCTCAAGTAGAGCGTCTGTTTCGGGGCCCGAGACAAAACCCCCTGATCATCGCAACGTAGCAAGCATATTATTTAGGCCACCCCTTGGGAGAGCTGGCAGGTGTTCATGCACGGGCCCGTTGGCCCCCAGCTTGGTGCACAACCTCATGTCGAACGCCGGTTTGGGGCTCCAGAGGGGCATTCTCAGAGCGCCTGGCTCCCAAGAGGGAGCCACCAAGGGGGGGTATTGCACGGACCCGTGCGCCTCCAGATTGGTGCTCGCTCTCAGGTAGAACGCCCAATTCGAAGCCTGGCGATCGACCACGATGCAGCAGGCACGTCACTGGCCCGTTCGAGCTCAGACTGTGGGGATGTCTTGAGCGAAGCGCTCGTATGGCGTCCTCGACTCCCGTCTCCTGAGAACCTCATGGAAACACCTCGATACCGCAGGCACAGTACTTGGGCACCCCAAGGGGGAGCCGCCAGGGGGTCAATCACTGACCCCGTCCGCGCCCAGCCTGCGAGGATGCCTCAAGCGCGGCGCTCACGGTGGGAAGTACCAGGAAATGGAGATGCACGTATGGGTTTCTCCGCGCCGAGCAATTTCACCACGCGAGCGCGAGATGGGCAGGCCGTGCAGAAGAAGGCCAGGCCGCATGGCTCCGGCCAGGCAACTGGCCTCGGGCGCGCGTTGGGGGATCCCAGATCAGTGTGGCGACACACCGTGTGGTGACCTTGAAGCACCAAAAGATCTCACCGCAAGGTCCGTCACCACACATTTTTGGGGACCCTGGAGGCGCCGGTCGACAACGACTTCTTCGGAGAACAACCCGAGCTCCAAAACCGTGCAGTGACCCCGAATCCCCACCGACTCACCACGCGGTGTGGTCACCGCACCGATTGGGGGCCCCCGTCGTGGTTTTCGGGCCATCACTCGGGCCTTCGGCGGCCGTTCGGGACCATCTGGGCACCCCTGGAACGCCCTCGGCAAGGCGCAGCTGCTGGAACGCACCCCAAAACAAGAAAACCGCCGAGAACCAACGTGAACGTCGGAAAACCGAGCCTTGGTCGCCGCTCAGCGAGGTGGTCGGTCGCCGGGGGTCGCCCGGAGCGGAAGGTCGGCGTTCGGCTTGCGCCCCCCACCCCCTCAAGACCTTCGAGGCCGCGGCAGCGACAGGGCACCCAGCGGCAGGCACGGGGCTGGATCGCTCGGAGGCCGGCGCGGAGGGGGTGTCCCTGCCCCGCGCGGAGCCCGTCGTCTGCGGAGGCGCCAGGCATGCGCCCAGCGGCGGCGGCAGCAGGGTGGGCTGCACCACAGCCTGGTACACGCGGCCAGGAGGCAGGACCTGGGCGCGTACAGTTTGAAGCGTTGCCAACTTGCGGCAGTCACACACCCGTATTGGCGGGCATGTTGCGTCAGGGCTGGACCTAAGCGTTGTCTTTCGTTTTGTAATCTTTGCGTTGCTAGTTTTGCTCCACCTGTTTTCCTGTACCTCCCTGCCAAACCAAAACACAAAACACAGCCGAAGTCCAGCAAAACAACGTTTAGGTCCAGCCCTGTTTTGCGTGACACCTCTCGGGAGCCCTTAGGAGCCCAGCAGGGCTGACGTGACCCTCTGTCGGCCCCGTGACCCAACGACGGGGCTGTGTGACCCCGCGCTGGCCGTGGCCTCCGCGCCAATGCAGAGCCCAAACCGACGCGAAACAAGGTGGACGGCGGCACCTCGCCAAGACTCCTCCTCCTTCTCCTCCTCCTCCTCCTCCCCCTCCTCCTCCTCCTCCCCCTCCTCCTCCTCCTCATCCTCCTCCTCCTCCTACTCCTCCTCCTCCTCCTCCTCCTCCTCCTCCTCGTCCTCCTCCTCCCACCGTAGACATTTGGCTCAATCCATTTTGGCTCAAGCCATTTTGGCTCAATGTTGGTCGGCGCGACCTGGGTCCCCCGGGCGGCGCGCGGCGGGCGCGCGCTTGGGTGCCATGGGGATCCGACACCGCCCAGCCTCCGTCGGGATGCACGGCTTCAAGCGCCTCCAGAGCGGCCGACAGTACTTCGCGAAGTACTACGCCGCTTGGTCGTTGGACGGCAAGCAGTGGCAGCAGGGGCTGTGCGGCGCAGGACGAGCCGAACGCCATCAGCTAGAGCGCAGGGGTAAGGGCCTTGTGGCAGCTCAGTCGCAGTTCGCCGTCGCCAGCACCGATTCTCCGTGGATTGGACGCAGCCCATACATCTCTAACCAAGTGCGAGAAGGGGGAAGCGAAGCTGGAGCCCAAAGATGAAGGTCGAGTCCAATGCCATCACCTAAAGCGTGGCGATCAGGGCATTTTTGGGGCGAAGTCGCAGCCCGACGTCGCCAGGCAAGTTTTCCAGTCGAAGTTTGACGCATCCCGTATATCGCACTGCGTGAGCGAGACGAGGGAGGCGAAGCTGGAGCCCGAGTTCTACAACTACTGCTTCATGAGCAGCGAGTGCGAGAATGAAGGGCAATGGCGGCTGGTTTCGCCACACTCCGCGAGAGCCCACGAGGACAGGAACGCTGAAGGACGAGCACAAGGCCATCACCTACTACGTTGGGATCAGGGCATTTGGGTGGCGAAGTCGCAGCCCGACATCGCCTGCACAGATTTCAAGAGTCTGTTATACGCATGGGAGAAGTGGGAGGCAAAGCTGGGGCCTGAGTTCTACAGCTAAGTACAGCCTAGTGAACAGCGCGTGCGACAATGCAGCCCAAGAGGTAGGGCACGCAGAAAGACGAGCCCAATCTCATCATCCACAGTTTTGGGCACCTGGGCATGTGGGAGGCGAAGTCGCAGCCCGACGTCGTCAGCAAGGATTTCCAGAGGATGTTAGAGGCATGCGAGAAGTGGGAGACGAAGCTGGAGCCCAATACTACAGCTACAGCCCTGGGAGCAGCGCGTGCGAGAATGCAGGGCAGTGGCGGCCGTTGTCGCCACACTCCGTGCGAGCTCAAAAGGAAGGGTACGCAGAAGGACGAGCCCAATGCCATCATCTCCTGTTTTGGAATCTGGGCATTCTGACTGTCTAGTGCACGTGCGTGTGCATGTGCGCGCTGTGTCTGCACGTGTGTCGCCCGTCATCGCCCTTTTCCGCGTCGGTAGCGTTCTGCCGTCTCTGCGGCTCCCTGGCGCAGCCTCGGTCGCAATGGAGAAGATTGGTGGCTCAGCGCCACGAGGTTTCGGGTTAGGGTCGGGCCGGCCAACCCTTAGCCTCCCTCATCAGCCAAGTGATGGTCCTCCTCCTCCTCCTCCTCCTCCTCCTCCTCCTCCTCCTTCTGCGCCTCCTCCTCCTCCTCCTCCGAGGCCGCCCCCACCCCGATCCGCCGCAGGCGGGTCTCCTGCTGGGCCACCTAGGGGACCACGTGCGAACCCTGCACCTGCCAGCCCCCCCAGAGATCGTGGGCGGAAGGGGCAGGGTTCGCATGTGGCCCCCTACCACCGGCCCTCCCTGGGTGCTGGGGCGGGGGCTCCAGAGCCCAAGGCAGGAGTTAACGTCGGTGCGCGGCTGCAGGAGGCCACGGGCAGGGCAGACCCAAACGCGCCAGCCAGTGCTGAGGGGGGGCCCCCATGTGGGCCCGCGCCAGGAGGTCTCTCCTGCGAGGGGTTGCTCTTACGCGTGGCGGATCCCAGGAGAGGAATACGGCATAACATCAGCGCAACACGTCGGAGGTCCGCGAAGATGTCTCGGACGTCGCGCGCCAGGGAGGGGGTCCAGCACCGATCCGAGAGATCAGCGCGGACCTCCGAAAATCTGTCGATTCTGCATGTGTCCAAACATGGCTTGCACCTATGGGTTCTGAATTTAGTGCGTGAAGCCATGTGTTGGGTATCCCGGATTCTCGCAACGCTGCCGCCCGTGCAGCGATGTGGGCGCCTCGTGGACACCCCGCGCTTGGGGGGTGTGCCGACGCTTCGCCACGTTTCTGCCCGTGCCGCCTCGTGGGCGCCAGGCGGGCGCCCCGCGCTTTGGGGTATGCCGAGCTTTCGCCAGGTTGCCGCCCGTGCCGCCTCGCGGGCGCCTGGTGAGCGCCCCGTGCGCTGGGTGGGTTTCACCAGGTTTCGCCACCGTGCTGCCCGTGCCGCAGTGCCGCATCGTGGGCGTCCGGTGCGCTGGGTGGATTTCCCGAAGTTGCGCCATGTTGCCGCCCGTGCCGCCTCGTGGGCGCCGCGTGCTCTGAGCTTACACGACAGAACTTTCACCACATGACTTGCACAACAGAACTTCCAACACGCAGTTCACACCACATAGCCTGCACAACATAACTCACATCACACAGCTTGCGCACCATAGCTTTCACCCTCAACTCACACCGTATAGCTTGGGCGACATAGCTTACACGACATAGCTTGCACCGCAGGGTTTTCACCTAGAGTTTACCTCACATAGCTTAACTACACGGAACAGATTTCAGCACATAGCTCACACCGACCTCTACTGTACAGGAGCGCACTGTTTGGGGTCCACGCTGGCTAACATGTCCTCTTCGAGGTCCCCTCTAGGAGGGGGGAGGGGGCGGTGATGCGCTACCCCAGTTCAGCGCAAACCCGGGGCGGGTAGGCCACGCCAGGCCGCAGCGGCGAGGCATGCCGGCCGTTGGGCGGCACCAAGTGCGGCCCAGCAGCGCCCACCTCTCTGGGCAGATTCATGTTAGGACGAAAGGCTAATGCATGGATCAAATCGGGCGGAAACTGTGTTTGAAATATTGTTTGTGGTAACGGTTGCTGCCGGGGGAGAGGGGCCCTGGGTTACGGTAACGCTTGGGCTTGGGCGGGGTGGGGCATGTCGGGGCGGGAGGGTGCGCTGCGATCACCATACATGCACGCGAGCACCAGCATGCGGGGGGGGGTCCAGACGTAGCACGTAAGATCAGCCAAAGTTACCGCGGCGGCGGAGTCGATAACCCTTGAACCAACCTCGTCCCCCTGGCCGCCCGCCAAAAAAGGCTGCGACTTCGGCTGCTGGCGACGCGCACAAGTGGGCAGCGCGAGGGGCGCATTCTAAGAAGACGGGGGGCGTCTGAGAAGCCCTGGGGCCTCCTTAGAAGGGTAGAGGCCTTCTCAGAAGGCCCCTGCTTTTCTAAAACGCCCTCCCAGCTTCTCAGACGGCCGCCCCCCCCCCAGTGCCACCCCCGCGCCGACAAATCTCTGAGAACCGGCGAGTCTGGAGGACGTATCGGGCGCCGCCGCCGTTCCAGAGCGCCCCAGAACGTTCTGAGAAAGGTTCAGAGCACTCTGGGGCGACTTCTCTTCATCGTGAGGTTTGTCTTGTATCATTTCCGATGACGCTCGTTACCCGGGGGGTTGGGGCCCTGGTTCACGGTAACGCTTAGGCGGGGTTTGGGTCACGTCGGGGCCTGGGTGCGCTGCGATCGCCACCGTATGCGCGCGAGCACCAGCATGTGGGGGTGGGTCCAGACTCCCCCCCGAAAAGCGACCGTTACCGTTACCTGGATGGGGAGGGATTTGGTCCGGGTAACGACCGCTACGCGCCAGAGGATACGACAACAATCTCTGAGAGCGTCCCACAACGCTCTGGAAGGACTTATCTTCATCATAGGCCTGCCTGACCCTGGGAGGGCCACGACTCAGCATACCCGAAATGGGTACGCGACACACGGGCACGATGCCCAACAGCACATCGTGTTGTCCCCAACCGACAGCGGCCGCAGTTGAGCACGCGACCTGTTGTCTCAAATGGACAATATCCGCGGCGACGCCGACAACGAGTCCTGTTCAAAATGAGCAGGGGGCGCTGTTGACAGGAACCGCAGTTGGTCTTCGTATCCATTCTTGCCGTACCCAGTTCGAGCGCACTGTGCGACTCCCGCTGGCGGGCGTCACCAGTTTGGACGCCAAGGTGCGCCTGGGGCAGGCTGCCGCCCGCCGTAAGGCGACCCTGGGACCTGAACACACTCGGACAGGGATATATCGTGGATCCCTGAAATCCCACGGATCTGAAGATTTACTGGTGCCGCGGCCTGCTCAGAGCGTTCATTCCAGAACGCTCCGTTGGAACCGCGCGTATATACACTAAGGTATCTGGGCCGTGTCCCATGGGGCCTCGCAGAAACGCAACAGGATGAAACATAGTTGCAATGTTCTGGCCTGTTCTCTGGGTGACAAGCGTTGACAAAACATGTGCGCTGCGCTTGGGCACCCATGAGCCACTAAGTAGGAGGGACAAGCATAGAATGGTGGATATGCTCATGGCCCCGACTCTGGAACGACGGCAAAGAACCAATGAGCCACTCCCTGTGGGATGAGCCCGACAGCGTCGTCTTGCCCAGACCGTCTTCTTGGCCAAGCTCAAGCACGTGCTCCTACGCTTCGACCACAAGACGGGCCTCGGCATCGACCGCATCAATCCCCAGTCGTGGTGCCTCAGGCTCTGTCCCAGCCCCGCCCGGCGCCGTCCAGGCGCTCTTCGCTGCCCGCCCGCCGATGCCAGGCGCAGCGGCTGGGCGGCCGCCGCGGCCGCGGGCGGCCGCGCGGTCGCGGGCGCGGCGCGCGGTGGGGCACTGGGGAACCGCTGAGCGGGCATCGCTCGGGGGCGGCCTGATCGAGCCCCAAAGGCCAAAAATGCTGACGTCTCACGGCTAACTCCGCCGAAATTCCGCCGCCGTCCTACTTGCGCCGCCTTCCGCCAGCTTCCGCCGAGGGCGAGGATGCGCCGAAGCCGAGAACTTCGTGGGCCCTGCAAACGACAGGGCTGTTTTGTTGCATCGTTTTCGTTTTTCTATCAAGGGCAGGATGAGGATCTGCCAACTCCCAGCAACAACTGCACGTGAGCAGCACGACACTGGTGGCCCAGAACCGGCGCGTTCAAGTGGTCCTCATGCAACAGCCCGCAAGGACCCCTGGAGCCTCCCCACTAAAAAATGCTCACCTAGACCCCACACACCACCCCAAGAGACCCCCGAGAAAAGCCCCCAGGGGGGCCCTCCAAGACAACGCAATAACTGCAGGCCGCCAGCAAAGCGAGGAGCGGCAGCCAACATACAAAGAACATCGGAAACAACACACGTCCTCTTCTGGGGGTCGGCGGAATGGCGCAAGACTCTTGAGGCACTTGGGAACCTCTGAAAACCTCTGGGGCCCTCGTCGGCCCTTGTTGGCGCCTCTGTACGCAGCTTAGCCCCCATGTGAGCCTCAGCTTCTCCCGTCTTCGGCCCCCATGTGAGCCCCCTCCGGCGAGAACTGGAATGGGCGGGCGGTGAACGCGAAGCGTCTTGCATCTCTAAGAGCCAGCGGGTCTGGAGGACGTAGCAGGCGCCGCGGCCGTTCCAGAGCGCTGGGGAGCGCACCGAGAGGGTTCCGAAACGCTCTGGAACGCCCTGGGGCCGTGCTCCACTATGTGCGCGCCGCCCGTGTAGGAGCAGGGGAGAAAAGGAGGAGGAGGAGGAGGAGGAGGCGGAGGACGAGGAGGAGGCGGAGGAGGACGAGGAGGAGGAGAAGGAGGAGGAGAAGGAGGAGCAGGAGGGAGAGAGGAGAGAGGAGGGAGGAGGGAGGAGGAGGAGGAGGAGGAGGAGGAGGAGGACGAGGAGGAGGAGGAGGAGGGCGAGGAGAAGGACGAGGAGATGCATATATATATATATATATATATATATATTCTCATACGCACCTCTCCGAGGGAGTAGAGCTCAGAGGGGATTAATGCGTCCGTGCGTCCGTGCGTGCGTGCGTCTTCGATTTTCCCGGCCGTTTCGACGGACATCCCTCGAAATCGTGTCATTTCAATTTTAACACAACATCTTCAAAAACACATGGTAATTTCAATAATTTTGACCCCGATTCTCAGAGAATGGCGGTTTCGCCTGAGACATCCTCCCAAAATCGAGCCCCAGACCCCTCCTCGGAGCCTCCTGGGGGCCTCCTGGAACCTCCTGGGGCCTCCTGGGGCTTTCTGGACCTTCTGGTACCCCAGACCCCGCCTCGGAGCCTCCTGGAGTTCTCCTGGGCCTGCTGAGGCCGCCTGGGGCCTCCTGGGGCCTCCTGGGGCTTCAGAACTACATGCACACACAGAGACACAAATCACGCCCAACACATCACACGCTAGACAAACATAACATACACACACACACACACACAACACCGACAACACACAAAAAGCACGCACCACACAAAGCACACACATCACACACACACAACACTCACAATCCTGGGGCCTCCTGGAGCCTCTTCTGGTATCCAAGTCGGGCCTCCTGAGGCTTCCTGGGGGGCCCTGGTACACACATCGCAAGGTGTGGCAACCCCACTTGCGCTCGAGTGCGACTTCGCTGTTGCATGTCACTCCTGCTTCAAACGCCCCTTCAGCTTGTTGTATGAGCCTGGGCACACACGTGCCACTTGTATATATATATATATATATATATGTGTCCTCATCCGAGGCCTGCATGACGGCCCCCTCGCCTCGCTCCAGGACGTGGGCAGGCGGCCAGACGGAAGCCTGGAGGGTGAAAAGTTCTGTGGCAACTCGTGGGTGCCTCCCATGTGATGCTGCTGGCGCTAGCCGACGCTAACCGACGCTGCATCGGCGCTTGCTTATCGATTATCAAACACTGGCGCACGCTGATGCACCCTAGAGGACATGGAAATTCGAGGACATACAAGGCTCCCATGAGGTGCTACCGAAAGAAAAGGCTCGTCACGGACTTGGACGCTTCAAACGGGTACGGAACAAGTGGGCACCGTGCCCAGAAGCCAATGTTGTCCAAAACCGACAGCGGCCGCTGTTGGGCAGGCGGCAATCTGTCTCAAATTGACAACGTCTGCAGCGAGGCCGACAGCGAAGCCTGTTCAAAGGGGTCGGTTAGGCCGCGACCGGGTCACCCTGGTCTGGGGGGGCGGGGGGGGGGCGCAGGCCCCATGTGTGGCCTTGGGCGGTGGCGGTGCTGCGCGGCGCGAGAACCAGTGCGCCTCCGCTCTGCCGTGGGGGACATGCCAGCCCTGGCCTTCCGGCGTCGCGAGAGAAACACGGCTAGAAACTGAGTAGCCCCGACACGCAACACGCAACCTGGAGCGTTGTGAAACGGAGCTCAACACGCATATTGAAACCGTAGGCATGGCGCGGTACCTTCACCAGAACGTGCTTCGAGCCAACGCGCAGCGTGCTCCGAGCTAACACGCAGCGTGCTCAACCCATCCGCCACCGTGCCTCTGGGCACGGAGTGGGCGTGTTCTCAGGCCCTTTGCCTATGAGTATCGTTTACCCGATCCCCATCCCCAGCGGCGTGGCCTGGGCCCCGCTGGCCGATTTACCCCCCTACATGGGGATATAGGTCGCTCCCATCGGGTGCCAAAGGGTGTATCTCCAACTGGGGTGGTAACTTGGTGGGGGTCTCGAAAAGGATGGAGGTGGGGATGGGGATCGGATACACGATACCGAGCCTCATCCCTGGAGCCTCCACCCTCACTCCCGAGGAGCCTCCTCGGGGCCCGGACCCCGGTTTCCGAAAGTTGGCGGGGCTCCCCGCGTGCCCCCTGGGCTCCCGGAAGTGTTCTCGCGTGCCCGGGGCCAAGGAGGCATCGAGACGGGTCTTGAGGGCCTCAAGCGGCTTCCAAGACGGCCCAACAGGGCACAGAGACGCAGAGATCAACCCAAGAGGCTCATAACGGCCCAAGGGGCCCCCAAGACGCCCCAAGAAAGCTCCAAGAAGGCACCAAGAGACCTCCAAGAAGGCACCAAGGAGGCCTCGAAGGCGCCTCCAGAAGCCTCCAAGAGGCCTCCCAAGAAGGTACCAAGAGGCCCAAAACCGTCAATGTTACTCAGGTGTTTGAATGATGT